CGGTTTGGCTTTATGAAGCAGGCACGCAAACGGCTACGTCATGACGCAAACGATGACGCAATGACGCAGCACCAGTCGGACTCTGGGCAGTGTGAAAAGAGCAGGAGCTAAACCGAAGAACCAGTTCTGAACCTGAAAAGCTCTAGCACGGAGCTTGAACCGGAGTTGCGTTGGTGTGAATGAGGTATATGAGAGCATAATGGCAGCCATCACTGTAGGCACAGTCCTCTCAAGAGATTGAATGTAATGAAGTCATGCCTATTAGAGTGCGCCTCCTTACAGTTTTACTGGCTCTTTGTGAGGATGTAATCCTGTAGACTGCAGCATAGCACTGAAATGTGTCTTACCCGTGCTTGGGGCTAGCATTTGAGCCTTTGCCATGAAAGCATGTCTGGGAGGTTTGAATGTGATGTCAACATCCAGCTGAAATAATGTTCCTAAATGGTAGAGAATTAACTGCCCTGTACAGAGGAAGAGCTATTTTACACTTAATTAAATATCCACATCTGCAGGTTGTTGGAGTGATGGCATTATCTATTGATTTTTTATCAACACAGTCAAATTACATTTTTGTAAGCCTTTCGCAAGCTGTTTTTCATCCGTACTGTTCTCACCCGAAATACAATGTAATAGATTACAGAGAAACCTTATAGATATGCCGGAGCAATAACACCTACTTTAAACCAAACACAAAGGCAACAGTTACAGCAAAACTGTCAGTTGCATTTAATGATGAAATTGAGTCATTCAATCAACCTCTGGACTTAATATGATTACCCATAATGCCCAGAAAAGAAGCACAGTCCACCATTGGTGCTGAGTTTACTCTCATTAAGCCTTTCTCCTAACGGATTTTAGGCCTCCTTCTTTCTCACCATTCTTGCCGTCTCCAAGTGCTCCCCCTTTCTCTCCCTGCCTAAGCTTTAGGGCTAATTTGAAACCCAGGAGACAAAGGCGTCTTTCAGTCCTGTCAGTCTGGTCACAGTGCCAGCCAGTGCCCAGGCTCCCTCCATTTGCCTGCCACACACAGAAGCACCATTAGAAGGGTGTCATTATCTCCTATACATGGGGCAATTTACACTCTAGCCACTTTTACCTAGCCAATTAGAGCTGGCCAGAGCCCATGGTGCTGCTTTAGGGTGTTTATAATGGGAATACCACCTGCAGGAAGGCCCTAATGCAAACCAGTGCACCACCAGTTATACCAACAACACAGTATATAAGCTAACCCGCTATCACTACAATCATATTTCTCTTACATTTTGGAATAAAGATATAAGAAGTAACTAGCTTCAGGTGGGAGATGTTGTAGAAAGAAATAACATTCAAGTTGAGTCTTGAATGTCTGCAGGCAGTAAAATGTGTATTCTGCTGCAAACACATGTCTTGGGAGGCACATCTGGCTTTTATTATTCCCAACTTAACCAACATAGATGCAGAGCTGAGCATCAGCTGACCTAATTATAGTGGAATTGGGAGCTTTGCGGAACTTAAGTAGTTTTGAGGGACAAGCCATTTTAAAGTCTTTTTCACTAATCTCAGTCAGAAATGCGGCTGACATCTGTTTCAAGCAGTGACTCGCAGTAAACAGCAGCGATTCAAGCAGCTGCCCACCAAAGAGTTAAGACTCACTTTAGAGGGAAGCCCTTTTTTAAATCGCCTCCCTCCCAATTACACTGGAATTACCAACTTGAGCTTCAAAACAGAGGACCCAGCTGGATCTGCTGTGCACAAACACAGGAAGACTTGGAACATTGATGGGTTTAACTACCACATGACAAAAGAGTTATACAGAGACATGAAAAAGTGCTCAATCTCATACTGCGGGAAGATGATTGGACCATTCTAGAAAAGCAAGTTAAATGTAGTCGGTTCCTTCTTTCCTCAAGCTACTTCAATCCAACCTACTTAATATTCCAGCCTTTGCTTGGGTGTCAAGGGAGCATAGACCAAAGGAACTCTTTTAAGGTGAGAAGCTCCCTCTGCCCTCCTGTCACACTGTTCATCTCTTCTCATCCTTTTATATCTTCCTGCCTGTACGTACTGTACTTCTTCAAAGCTCTGTTCTCCTCTCAGTCTACGTGATTTTAACCTGTACTGCTATTCTGTTCATGCAATCTCCTCATCACTAGCTTCATCAAAGAAAATCACACACGCATGGCCATTGGCAAAGACACACAACCCACGCTCTGCACTGCATTGCACTCTCGTCTCTTTCAATGAGGTCAATTAGCTGTGAATATATGTAAATGGCGGCTCTGAATAGGTCAGACATTGTCCAAAGTGGGGCGCAGACAATAACTGTTAGCATTACGCTAGTGAGGAAAGATTAAGAGAAAATTATATAATGTGTATGGTAGGGGTGTAACGGTTCACAAACATTTCGGTTCGGTACGTACCTCGGTTTTTAGGTCACGGTTCGGTTCGGTACGTTTTCGGTACAGCAGAAAAAATTATCACAAAACATAACATATTTTTTTCTAATTATTATTAAACTGTGAATATTCACTCAAATAAATACAAAATATAATAAAAAAAAACATTAAGGTGCAGCATTTCGATGAACTGAAATAATCTGTATTTGAACTTTACTGTACTAGTACTCACAAAACATAAACTATTAGTTTTGGGTTTTTAATTATTATTAAACTATGAATATTCACTCAAATAAATACAAAATATAATAAAATAAACATTAAGGTGCAGCTTTTTAATTAACTGAAATAATCTGTATTTGAACTGTACTGTACTAGTACCTAAGCAGCCAGTTTGACATTATGACTTGCTTGTCATTGTATTTTCATGTTGTTTTAAAGAAAGATGAACTTGTCCACATTGCTTGCCGAAAGGGCAGATCTGCTGGCACTAACAATGTCTCCTGCTGTGGAGAACACCCTCTCTAGGGACAGAGGTAGCAGATACAGCCAGGTAGCGCTTTGCTAACATGGCAACATAAGGATATTTGGTGTTTGTAATAGCTTTGGCTCGGTCTGAACTCTCTGCGAGTGGTGGAGGCTTAAATGCTAGCGGGAGTTGGGTTTGCACTTCAGTCTTTTTTCTTTTGGTACCGGTGATATTCACGTTCGGGTGATGCCTTTTCAAGAGTGTGCAAGTTTGATGTATTGCCAGCCGCGTAACCAATTTTAGTTGAACAATGCCGACAAACAGCTTTGGTTCGGTCCACCTGTCTTTGTCCGTCATCCTTGTTCGTAACTGCGAAACCAAAATATTCCTAAACCGGAGACTTCAATGATGCTGGAGGATTTTCAGCTCAACTTTATCTGCGTTCGCCATTTAGACAGTTCCTCAAATTACTGACTACATTTGAACGCATCCCTCTGACATAGTATGCCTCTCGTCCAATGAAATGACTTGCTCGCTCTATGACGCGTTGAACACAATGGGAGCAACATTCTCTGAATGCTGCGACGCAGCACCTGAGATTACTTCCAAGAAGTTGTTCACGTTCTCAATTTTTTAAGTTTAACGTTATATTCGTTCGGTACACTTCGGTACACATGTGTACCGAACCGAAGGGCCCGTACCGAATAATTTCGGTACGGGTACGTGTACCGTTACACCCCTAGTGTATGGGTATGCTCTGATAGGGAGGCATGGCTTAATCTTTTTTTTAAACATTTCAGTTAACACACGGTTGGCAAATGACTAGTTTGACGTTCACTTTTTTGGCATGGCACTAATGCTAAAGGTTATAGGTATTAATAGTTTATTATGTCATGCCTTCTTTTCTTACCGAGCATGTTTCCCATGGTCTCAGTGCTTTCCCTGATCTGTAATTATAACTCCACCCTGCATCACAATAGTGTTGGAGGATCATATTAGGCTTAAAGGCAAGATGTTTTCCCGTGTCTTAGCATGTCAGAAACGTACCAGCTGCTGACTGCAATCGCACCCTTAATAACACAGGCTTGGACAGCAAAATCAAAGTGATTATTATGACAGAGTCTATCTGTAAAAAGTGTAAAACTGTATGCCCCAGTTTCCTCCTGCAGGCTCACAAACACAGGGCTTGAGACTGATCAGTGATAAATATCTGTTGTAGCTTCAGACAGATATTACATTACATTACTTTACATTACATTGCATTTAGCTGACGCTTTTATCCAAAGCGACTTACAATAAGTACATTCGACCAGGAAGACACAACCTTGAAGAAAACAGAATCATATAAGTACATCAGGTTTCATAGAGCCAAACATTTCAAGTGCTACTCAACTGGCTTTAGATAAGCCAGTCCTTTATTAGTATATAAGTGCTTTGTTAATAGTTCTAACGCTCGAAGTGGAGTCGAAAGAGATGAGTTTTCAGTTTGCGCCGGAAGATGTGCAAGCTATCTGCCGTCCTGATGTCAATGGGGAGCTCATTCCACCATCTTGGAGCCAGGACAGCAAACCCACGTGTTTTCGCCGATGGGAACTTGGGTCCCCCTCGCAGCGAGGACGCAACGAGTCGTTTGGCTGATGCAGAGCGTAGTGCACGCGCTGGGGTGTACGGTTTAACCATGTCCTGGATGTAGGAAGGGCCAGATCCATTCGCAGCACGGTAAGCAAGTACCAGTGTCTTGAAGTGGATTCTAGCAGTTACCGGAAGCCAGTGAAGGGAGCGGAGGAGCGGAGTGGTGTGGGAACATTTAGGAAGGTTGAAGACCAGACGAGCCGCTGCATTCTGGATGAGCTGCAGAGGTCGGATGGCACATGCAGGTATAAACAGATATAAACATCGACAAAGACACCCGTTGTTCTTGATAGCTGCAGGCAAACCAGACACAGCCCTTTGCTTCAACTAAGAAAATAGCTCATTTTCACAGTAATGACGTGAGAAAATAGCACCACGATACAGTGTCTTCTATTGAGCAGTCATATTCTGTGAAGCGACTTTATCCGATCCTGACCTTTCAAATGTCATGTGTGTATTATTAACATCCTTAAATACTTCTAATAATTCTGGAATATGTCTGATTGTGTATCTCCGACTTTTACCTCTCTCATCTCCTGGGTGATGGTGTTCATGCGTTCATTCTCAGACTGGGTGTTGGTGAGGATGTTGCGTGCCTGGCGGACCTCGGTCTGCAGCTCCAGGACCCTCTGCTCGTAGTAGGCCTCCTTACTGGCCGACTCCTGGATAAGAGACTCCTCACGGCTCTCCCCATCCGCTGCCACCTTCCTGTGGTTGGAGTAGGCTTGTCCAAAGGCCTGGCGATACAATGAAGGAGGAGAAGCGTTTTTTAGTGTTTTTAATACATTGTTAATGATATTTAGTGGCCAGACGACAGATATATGTCAGTCAGGGGATTGAAGCATTAACAGGCTATTATATTTTTACAATCGGGATTTGTAAAAAGGTTATTTAGTGATGCAGCCATTCTTAAGTGACACTAATCTCTATTACTATGGTTCAGCTAGGGACTGGGGCTAGAATAACCTCCCAAAACCCTGCCGTCGCCCCGTAGAGATAATCAGTTAGGCTGCATCATCCCATCTCCCCCCCATCACTCCCTCCCCTCACAGCGCTGACCTCCCCTGCACGTGCTCGGCACTGACTCAACAGATGGGAAAGGCAAACAGTAAAAGTAGAGCAAATGCCCGAGTGTCTGGGTGATGATGAGAGGCCTGTGTTCTAATGCTCTTAATACCTCAGGAGATCATAGCAGAGTACGGCAAGGTCAGCAGATATTTGATTTTTACGGATTGCCCGAGGGGGATGAAATTCATAAAGAAATGTACCTATAAGACAGAAAGAAAGACTAACTATGGAAGACATATAGGCTAAGGCTTCTACCTTCTGTAGGGGATGTTCTCAGTTCAAGTCTAGGGGGAGTCCTGTACTTTCATTGTGCAAAATGAAATAAGTATATAATGCTGGCTTCATTTTGATCTGAATTCTTTGATTTCCTGCAAGGCACCATCATATGAACAGAGACTGACCGTGAGGAAGACCCTAACTGCAGCAGAATCTAGGTTAGGTTACTATACGCCTTCCCAAAATAACCATCCCCCCGATTATAGATTTCATTTCCACTCCTGTAACCACCAGTGATCGTGTAGAAAAGTTGATTCTCATCTCGCTCACAGCTCGAGTGCAGGCAGTAATCTGAAATCACCTGAGGCCCTGCATCTGACCTTGTTTGCAGCTGCAGTGCAGTCTCTTCTCTCCGACATGCTACCTCCATTTTTCCCCAGAAAAAAGGAGGATTTTCTCTATTTGACTGCCTATCATACTAATCCCAGTCATTCCTTTAGAGGAAGGATAACCTGGACATTTGCATTAGTTGAACTGGCCTACTTGCAGGACTTAGAGTTTCATAAATATGCGAGTGTAAAACTATTTCAGTGGGTTACAGATGTGCGTGACATCATGTCTGGTGCGGTGGTTACATCATCTCTCTCACTTTCCAGGATCCAGCAAGCAAGCATGAAGAGATAAAACCTCAGCCTGGGACACAACATGTTTCATTTGGAAGCAACGGCAGATTGAAATGGTGATAACTGAAATGTGATTGTGTTAGTTCTCTAAAGATTGCCTTTTTTTGGGACAGATAACCTGAATTGTGTTTGCAATAGATAGAATACGGTAACCAAGCCAACACAAGAGCTGAAATGAGCTGCTTAGTCAATGAGCCAAATGACAGAAAAGAATTGGAGGGTGATTGACAAGAATATGTTGTTGTTATAAAAGTTAAAAAGCATTTTGATATTTGTTTGCTTCGCAGTTGAGGATTTCCTGCTCTTCTTTGAGTTATGTAATAGTAAACTAAACATCTTGTTGGCTGAACTGAACTGAAAAGTGGTTTATGAAAGTTATGTTGCAGCATATTAATTGATAATGAAAATAACTGTTCAGAACATGTATAACATATCTAGATACGACTTCTGGGAGGTGCTTAAGTTATCTTGAAGCCAAGGTTCACTAGACATTTATTGACAGGCAAAGTGTGTCAATAAAAAACTTATGTCAGTAACTCTAGATAAAATCTGTTTAATAACTATTCTTATAACTTCCCCACAAGCTTCCTCTCATCCGAAAATCACACCGACAATCAGCAGGAGACTATATTTGATGAGGAAGTCTTTGCAGGAGACAGGATTAATCCAATCAGAAACAGGGGAATCCCATCATTATAATCTTGGTGAATAGTGGACATTGAAGGGACTCCAATCAGTCCGATCTAAGAGGCCTGTCCTCTAAACATAAAGTACAGACCCTAGCCAACACCCTCTGACCCAAGGCCTTTAATCTCCGCTACCCAAGCGTGGATTTAGGCTACATTTGGGGGAGGTTAAATTATGGACGCACGCGACCAAGCCTGTAATCCCATAGTGAGCTGCCCAACCAATGTATAATTCATCTTTAGCTTGCCATATGTTGCGTTTTTTTTAATATATTAGACATGTAAGCGCTGTGGGTTATTAATCTCTTGTAAAGCTAATCAAAGGCAGATCTTTGGTCATTAGCACGCTGTCTGGATTTCCCCACAGAGGGCTACGGCTAACATTAACACTTCATAAAGGAAAGTCAATAATTCAACAGATTTATCCCTCTACAGACCCGAATGTCTGATTCCAGATGAGTGCATGCATTAGGGGGTGAGGTTAGACACCCCGCCGGGCTCCTCTTCAGACTGTGCTCTGCCATGTGTAGATCAAAGCACATCATCGGTGATCAAAAGCATCATGTGATTGAGCATGATTGATAAAATGAGACGCCTCCGAGTTCTTTTTCTCTTATTTCCATTACTTCCTCACATTGCTTAAACTAAAACAAAGGATCTGACTACCCTAGTCATGAGATTAACACATGGAAACTTTCAAAAGGTTAAAAAAAGACTCTCACATGGGTGCATGAATGCAGACTAATTTAAGGAAGGATGTTAGCCTTCATTTTAGTTTGAGGTAGCCTTTATCAAAACACTGGTGTCTCTGGTAATGAGGCTTATATTACACTCAATCTGCTATATGTGGGTTTACCTTACAGCCAAACAAATGTTCCTACGGCAGCGAGCCAGCTTGTGTGTTTGTTGTCAAAGCCTGAACATGTTATTATCATTCTGTCGTCTCACAAAGTCCACTGATTAGAAGGTGAGACGAATCAGGATTTACCAGTCATCTTTCTGTTGTGCTGTATGATCCCTGTTCAGAAATAGAAGGGGAATGCTAAACACTGGGTTCCTCAGGCTACAGCCCTGGTGGTAATGTCCAACACCTTGGGATGTTAAAGCAGAGATTGTAGGTCACCGAGTTCACTGTTGGTTTCTGCGCTTAGAATTGTCCTGCGCATGTTTCTCTGATCCATTGATTCAAGAGCACAAGGGAGACGGGCTTTAGGTCTCTGACAGGTAACACACAGATCGATACTGCAAGTCTCAGAGGCCCTGTGGAGCACAAGTAAAGCAAATGTATAATTCTATTTTTGGTTTCTTTCCCACTGGAGAGCAGTGTTCCTGTGGCAAGTGAGAAGAGGTACATTCAGAGATAGACCAATAGACAGGACTACTAAAGACTATCTGCAGCAGAGAATATAAAAGCTCTGTACAGGGCTGGATTTAAATAAGAGGCCAAGAGTATTTCAAACAATAGGGATGAGTCCTCTTGGAAAGCCTTGCATTTAAGACCAAAACCCAAAAGGGAATCTCTTTGGATTTGGGTCTGATTATTTGATCTCTGGTCTGGCTATAATCTTGTCATTGTCAAAGTTTCCATTCAGCTCTCTGTGGTCTTCAGTCTGGATGTATTAAGAAAGTAAAGCTAGCTTCAAGAGGAGAGGCAGTAATGCAAACAGGATAAGACTAAGTGAAGAGTCAGACAGCTTATTATGTGTTGCTGAGACAGATTGAAAGAAGCTAAACTAAAAGTTAACCATTTCTCATATACTATCAGGGACCCAGTCAAGTATTTTATGTTGGTTGATACATTCTCAAATTAGATAGAAATACAATATAAGGCATGCATACACAACAAAACAAACCTGGAGACATGTGCCGATACAACCTTCGGGAGCATAAAACTGAGTTCCAGATTCAAAACAAAATGGAAAAGGCTAACCTCTAAATGTAGAAGGACAGAATAAATAGAGAGTAAGATGGCTTCCCCAAGGAAACACTGATTTTGAGGCATAATGCTGACATGATTATCCCACTAGATGATCCCAGATAGTAGGAGGACATGCCTACTGTGCAATACTAGACGATACAGCCTCAAGAGGCAGACATGTGATATGCCTTTGGCAAGCCTTGTGGACTAGGGTGGGCTGACGTTGCGCTGAGGTTTTCCGTCTCTACAGCCGCATTCTTCTGCTATGACAAAGAGAGCTTGTGACTAATGCTGAACAATATAATGCTATGTCATTTAGATCAGTTTAGTTAGTCATACAGATAGAGTAGTGGTGGGGTTGACCTTGGATGCCAAAGCAGTGTTCAAGCAAGTATGTGATAGCAGAGGAGGGGCAGGATTAAAAAACAACTGGATTTGTTTGCCTCGTGAAGCACTCCCTCTGTGTCACGATCTCTATTCACAAGCCACTATGCAGCCAGCCACTTTGAAGGAACAGATTGCTTCGAGGAGTGTGTCACCGACTCTATATTTAGTTGTCTATTATCAACTTTTGATAATAAAGATCTCTTGGGGCAGCACATCACATGAGTGACCTAGCACAGCGGGTTGACCTACTATTCTACCGTCTCACCACACTATACTTCATTTAGTTCTACAGCACAGCTCACCATGTGTTTCCATCGTTCTGTATAACGTTATTCTCTGAGGAATGTAAACCATGTCACATGGCAGTGTCTGCTTGTTTTAGTTAACTCAATTTACTCAAAGCGCTGTTGCTGATTAGTGCATGTCATGCCAAGGCCAATGACAAGTTGCTTTAATGACTAACAGAGAAGCTAATTATTTACTTCAGACTTTAGTCTTCAGTGTGTGAGAAATTGAAGAGAAAGACATTTGCTTTCATCCCGCGAGAAATGACTGGCTGTGAATTCTCCTCTTCGTGCCTCAGGGACAGTTTCTCACCCATTCTGAAACTCTAAAATGTGTACCTTTCAAGTAGGGATTTACTACAGCAAAATCAGTAGAATAAGCTGTCATATTTAACACTTACATGTATGTGTTATATGTGTCAAACAGAAGGAGAAAGGAGAGGGAGAAAGGAGGCAAGAGGAATATGTGCGAGGGAGGCAGAGCTATTAGCTGTT